AAAGAGAAGGAGGGAAGGAGGGAGGAAAGAAAGGAAGGAAGGAAAGAAGGAAAGAAAGTAGGAGAGAGGAAGGAAGGAAAGAAAGGAGGGAAGGAAAGGAAGGAAAGAAAAGAAAGTCAATTATATGATTTATGAAGGACCTAATGGGCATTACCGATGTTTTCTGCCCATTGTTGTGTCCACTGAAATTCCAGCTCAGAAAGTGATCATGGAATTGAAAATGTATCGTCTGCTCCCTTGGAGCAGAAAGAGTATCTGCACTCTGTTGGGCGGGGTAAACCACTGAACAGCGCTGCCGCACAGGAGAGGAAAGAAACAGCATGCAGAGAAGAACGCGCTGCTTTCCACCCATGGGGCATTGTCTGTCGCATTTAATGCCCTCCAGGGAGTACGTGCTCTTACCATTCCCATTTCGAGGCTTTCACGTGGATTGTAGCTTGCCTCCTAAATCTTGTGTGTGTCCAAAGCCTGCTCTCTGCTCGTCCTACCCATGGGCTCGAGGCTGTGGTACCTTAGCCATTCTTGGACCACACAGTAGGCACCTCCTGCATGCCCCTGCATTTGGGGTAAGACAGAGAGTAAAACTAGCTAATGAACCTGCCCCCAGATGGTTTAGTGGGAGGGGGATAGAATCGCCAACCAAGTGTCCCCACAAATAAGCGTACAGATTACAGACTGTCATAGGTCCATGGGTCGAGAGGTGCATCAGGCCATGAGAACAGATGGGTAGAGAACCTGGTCTAGTAAATTATAATGAATTGAGGAGGGAAACCACCCCCGACTCCCGCTCCGTAGGCTGGGGAGGTGGGGGTGTATTCAGCAGAGAACAGAGGCAGCCAGTTTGGCTGGAAGGTGGGGATTTGAGGGGAGCACTGGCAGAATCCTGTGGGGGCTGAGGAGGTTGGAATAAAAGTTATAGCCTCAGACGTGAACTTAGTACAGCATGTGGGTTAAAGATACTCAATCACTTCTCTCCTTTAATAGCAATAACCAGTGAGAAACAGAAGTGGAAAGGTTGCTTTCATAAGAGAAAGTGATGATGTAAAACACCCAAGATTTCTTAAAAAACAAACAAAACAAAACAAAACACCCCAAACCTAGTGAAAAAGATAAAGAAATTTTACTTATATTCCTAAAACTAGCTGCAAACAAATGGAAGGTCATGTGATGTGATTGTATGGAAAATTAATGTAATAAAAACTCCTTCTTCCGAAATCAGTGTATAAATGTAACACAACTCTACCAGAATCCCAGTGTGGATTCCCTTGGAAGTGAAAACATGAGTTTAAAATCTCTGTGGAATAGGAATCCTTAACAATATCATCAAGCTGTTTCTGAAAAATAATTTTAGTAAGGAGGCGTTTGCTTACCAAATACTCAATACTAATGGTTCCTGTGAAACAACTATAATTTTATCTCTTTAATTTTTTAAAGTTTTTATTTAAGTCATCACTACACCTAACATGGGGCTCAAACTCATGACTCCGAGAGTAAGATTTGAGGGGTCTACCCACTGAGCCAGCCAGGTGCCCCACAGCTGTAATTGCAACACTGCAGTGTAGCAACAGTGAAAGACGTATCAGCAGAAAAAATACTGGGTTCAGAAATACATGTGAGGACATAATGTATTCTGAAACAATAAAAATTCAGCAGATACGTCTTTATTTTCAAGACTTTAAAAGCCTATTGTTAGAGACCTATGATATTTGGGTTATGATTTTTAGAATGTATTATTAACAGCATATTATTTCTGTATAATATATTTCCAACTTATATTTATCATTATGTTAACTTTGACATTTTACTTTTCTAGGGAAAAGAGTACATTTTCACGTATAACTTAATGTTTCATACAGCGGTACTATGACATTTTTAGTAGCTCAGAATGAAATGCGAATGTTAATTTACAAAGTCTGTCTTTGACCTCTGGGTAAGATGAGAAATAGACGAGCATATTTCTAAAGGTTTAAGAAGTTCATGGATACACCTACAGTGACAAATTGGATATTTCCAAACAGTATGTACACATTTCCATCAGAGCAATTAATATTAGTCAGATAATCTTGAAGAACCGAGAACTGTGGTATTGATGAATAACTGTGTGTTAGAAGTTGCCAGAAGGTTAGCCACATTAAAACAGGGTCTCTGAGGTGATAATTAAAACAGATCGATTGTTCTCAAGGTTAGAATAATAAATTCATACATAAACGGGTTACTCAGTCCTCAGAAATCTACCTTTGGGTCCTTTAAAAACTCTCATTACTCACGTCATTACCATCCTCATCATTATCCAGTTAACTCCTTAATTCCCCAAAGAGCTCAGGGCTATGGGGATATAAAATTTTGTTTCACTTGCATAAATGAAACTTTAAGATCAAAAATTCTAACTTCTGGATCGTAACTGTAGGATTTGAGGGATTAACGGCAAGAATAAGGTGGTTCCTCGGGACGAAGAAATTTGAGACATCAACAAAGCCTAACCCCGGGGATGGATACATCAGAGGGTCTACATGATTCACTGTGTCTCCTGAAAGGAATCGCAGTGAACACTTTTCTCTGATTTTAAAAGTTCTTTTACTTCAATGTCTCTCTCTTTCTTTTTTTTTTAACCCCGAAAAGCATATATCTTTATTTAAAAATTTATGTAATTTTTTTGTTAAAAAATTTTTTTAAACATTTTTTTTATTTATTTTCAGCATAACAGTATTCATTGTTTTTGTACCACACCCAGTGCTCCATGCAATCCGTGCCCTCTCTAATACCCACCACCTGATTCCCCCAACCTCCCACCCCCCAACCTCTTCAAACCCTTCAGATTGTTTTCTCAGAATCCATAGTCTCTCATTGTCTCTCTCTTTCTTATGCAGGGAGGATGTGAGGACAGCAAACGTAATCGCCGCAGAGGCTGTGACCTGCCTTGTCATCGACAGAGAGTGAGTACTCTGCCTTACTCTGCGTAACACATGCTCAGATCCATGACGGACAGAAGGTCTTGGAACTAGACATTAATTTTTGGAGTTATAAATCCTTGTTTGATATTCTTTCATTTTTAAAGTGAGTTGTCTACCTGATTCTCATTCCCTGTTATCCTTAGAAGTGGTTGGCTCTGCCGTTCCAGCCTTGGGAGTTTCCACAGGGTCTTAACCAGCGTGAGCCCCACCACAGTTAGCTCCTTGACATGCACAGGCCATCATGCGATGGCACAGAAACGTCATCAGGGTTCATGAGACACAAGGAAAGCATGGGTCCCAGTGGCTTTTTGGTTTTATTTATTTATTTATTGGTTTTTGGGTTTTGTTTTTTGTTTGTTTTGTTTTGTTTTACAAGGGAGGATCTTAGGAATACTAGCTATTGGGTAAATTTTTAGAGTAATAATTATCACTACCGCTAATATTACTAGTAGTAGTATTATTACAAAATGGATCATTCCTTCAGCATGTTTTAGTTCTCTCCATTCTCCCATCCCCAGACTCTTATAAGGGACACATTTAAGGAAGATACTTTTTGGAGAAAACATCATTTTAGATGTAGGTGTGTATTTAGGGTCCTGACAGGTGTGTTCGATGATGCCCAGCCCTGTTCCTTCTCTCCGTTTGGCTTTGCTAGTCTCATCGCCTGAATGCTTTATCGGTTCAACTACAAATATCTAATTGCTGATGCACCCAGGGCCTGAGTAAAATGTGTGGGTGCAATCTGGAAGCTGTCCCCCAGACTATTCCCCATTGCTGTGTGTGTGGAGGAATGTATCAGAAAACCAAGTGGCTTACCCATGGGGAAGAATGGCAAAGCACCCTTACGTGCAGTCAGGAGAGCTGGAATAGGCTGTGGGTGTCAGGATGGCCTGACCCAGGGAACCAGATGCGAGCAGTCCAGAATGATGGGTGTGCATGTGGAGCTCAGCAAGCTCTACGTGGAGAAGGGTCCTGCCTGATCCACTGATCTCAATTCTGGAGGCCCCTCAGCTCAGGGTCTCTAGAACCAGATCAGTGGCACGACCATAGGATGGTGTGTCTTTGAATGTCTCTGACACACATATTCTTTATCTGGTTCCCACAAACAGCCATTACCTAGTGGTTTCCTTCATTTGCCTAACATCATACCAAGAATCTACCACCTCCAAGTGTCTGGGTTCAGTGCTATGGGAAGTATCAGAGAAGCAGCACAGATCCTGGTTTGAGGGGTTCGCTTCTATGAGAGAAGATGTGACACATGCACAAGGCTGAAAGTGGAAGGATCCAGAAAGCACACTTAGGGGAGTCCAGCGAAGGAAGTGACGACTACTAAGGGGGATCAGGAAGGTCTTTGTGATAGACAGGGCATGATGGCACGTTAGGGTGCATCCGGAAGCACTGGCAGTAGAAATAGTATGAAGAGCACAACAGTTCTTGTAAGGGAACACTGAACTATTTCAGCTGGCTGGAGGGAGGCTGTGTCAGGGCGGTTGGCAAAGGTGTTGGGGCAAATGAGTTCACAGGCATGTTGGGACTGGTTCACCAAGAGCCCTCAATGTTGGGACTAGGGTAATTGAGAGTTTTATGTAATACAACAGCGTCACTCAACCGCTGTATTGGTAGACTAATCCGAGAATGCTGCATAAGGTGAGTACGAGGCAGAATATCTACTCAGCATCTGTATATCCAGGTGGTGGTCATGAGGCCATTATAGGAGGACTGCATCGGAATGAGAGGCGAAACCAGAGGGCTTACTCCTTGACTGAATGCAAAGGGCATAGAAGGAATGTGGTATGTACTCAGGATCAAGAAGATCCAGTAGGAGTACAGAGGAATCCATTTGGGAGGCACAGTGGTTTTCCATTACAAATACAATGAATGTGACATACAAGACGGACACCCAGGAACAAATGCCTCCCAGGAGATGTAAAAAGTAAGACAAGAGTTCTTGTTAGAGTCTTAAAATTCATCTAAAAATTGCTCATGTAGAGTTAATAGCTGAAGCCATGAGGTGGCATAGGATTGCATGCATGATAGAAGAGAGAAGAGAAAAGGACCAAGTTTAGAATTTGGGAAAATTCTTACATTTAAGAATGAGGCATGAGGGGAAAAACCAGGAAATAACACCGAAGCATCAGCTATGAGAACCACACCGGAAACCTCAGAAGCCGAGAGAAGATTCATGAGAGGAAGGACAGTCAGCAGTGTTCAGTGCATATGGGAGCCAAGAGGTATACAGATAGAGGGAAAAGTTTCAGTCAAGTGATGAGAATGGTGTCCAGCCTGCAGGGAGTGAGTGGCCCTTGAGGAGGTAAGATCACCCAGACTAAGGGCTCTTTCTTTCAGGAAGCTGGTAGAAGCTAGGGAGGGTAGGAGGGAGGAAGGAAAGGAGAGACCGAGGAGGGATGGAGTGGGGGGAGCATGAGGCATTGGTGGGCTCTTGGAGAGTGTCCTTGTGATGAGTTCACACACATATCCAAGAAGACGAAGGAAACAAAATACTAAAAGAAATACTTGATGGAAACAGGGCCACAGGGGAGGAGATTGTGGACAAACAAGGGAAGAATTCTTGGAGAACATATGTGTCTTTTCTTTCTTTTTTTTTTTTTTCTATTTCTAAAAGGAGAGGTAGAAAATTTATAGAGATGTAGATAAGGAAAGTTACAGGAACTCAGATGGTCTTGACCTTGCCTCTAAAGTGTAAAGCAAGAGGGACACATGGCTGGCTCAGTCAGTAGAGTGTGCAGCTCTTGATCTCGGGGCCATGAGTTTGAGTCCCACATTGGGTGAAAAGATTACTTAGAAGTAAAATCTTAAAAAAAAATTATCATAAAATCTAAAGTGAGAAAATCTGGCTAGATTTTCTGAGGCTATGGGTGTGCCAGGTGACTTGGGTGGACAGGTAATCATATCAGTTTATATATCTATAGTCCTTTAATAATTTATGAATTTCCACATGCATGGAATCACAGCTAGAAGGTAGACAGGATGTTCAATAGAATAGGAAATGGAAGCCCCTAGAAGCTGAATAATTTAGTAAGATTTCATGGTTAAACAATAAGCCCAGATTCATCAGAGAAACAAAGTAGATGGGATTTTGTGGGCTGTCTGGTCCTCCTTCTTCAAATGAATTAAGTGAGGTCCTGAGGAATGAAGGAATGCCACATCATATCATATACACACTTTTGCCCTCATTCGATTTTCTCTTTTTTTCAAACCTAGTCCTATATAGTGTGCTCTGGGTAATGAATGGGCTTTGTCAAATAAAACCCAGTAATTAAATCCTGACTAGACCACGTTTTGAGATTATGGGCAGTTACATAAATCCTACATCTCAGTTTGCCCATCTGCAGAATGGGATAATATTGCCTAGAGTTAAGATTGTTTTCAGTTTATCATCCTTGAAGGTCCAAGCACATCACAGGCTGTACAGTAAGCATTCAGCAGATGTGGTGTCCTCTTCTTGCAGAAGGCAAGGAGCCCCTCTCATTTAGCAGTTTGCTATCTAATTGGCAGAAATTTATTCTTAGGGATATATACAGAGGGTACCCCTTGAGACAGGAGACGTATAGAGAAGGTGGCCTGATCCAGAACATGCATTTCTTTATCTTAGAAGAGAAGCAGGTCTTCCCACCAAATGTTGAATTCTCAGCTTAAAAAAACAAAACAAAACAAAACCCTACCACCACCACCACCAACAACAACAAAAAACACCATAACTTAAGTCTCCCGTCAAGAGCCATCTCCTGGAACCTAACTGATGGCCAATTAGGGGAGCACCAGGGCTTCATCCCATGCAAACAGATGGCAGACGTTAGAACTGTCAACACAAGGAGCTGCTTTCTCAGATTTACAAGCGAGGTACCATGTTACATAAGCCAGTAATTACGCTTTATCGTTCCAGAGGGAGAGCCAAAGAACATTATTGTAACTAATCAGGCATGTCAGAATTTCTTTTAGAAAACACTCATTGACAAACTAGGAAATGATAAACAGATACATGGTTTTCCCAAAAAATGTTCTCTGGTGATTAGATTCTTGCAGCCTTGTCATGGTCTTAGTAACTAACTGCAGTGATTCTAGATTTTGCAGAAACTGACTAAAAAAGAAGGGTATTGGTCTATTTCCATTAACAAAATTTTTGAATATTTAACAAAAAAATTAGGGGTCTTTAGCACTTCTCATTTTGGAATCCATGAAAACAAATAAATGTAAAAGTAAGTATACCACTGCATTCTGTAATAGGTCATGCAATGCCTACTTCTTCATGGACATGAGTTGTGGATAAAGCTAGAGATTCAAGGAAGATCATTTATTTTTTGACATGTTGAGATAGTTGTTAAAAACAGCAACATAACTACTAGGAAGTGTTACAGGAGTTTTATATTTTTCCCCAGGAAATGAAGATCTAAGTTAGAGTCCTAACTATCCCTGATTTACTGTGTAACTTTACAGATGTAGCTATACTGGTTGTGAAAATTAAACTGTTTTCTTGCTGGTTGGTAAATAGCAGTGGTCTGAGGTCCATGTGGGTCCCTTGTACTCCCCTACTGCCCTGGTCATCTGATCCCCACCCTGCCCCGTCCCCACCCCCGCCCCACAACTCTCTCAATCTCTCCATGATGCAACAACGAAAAGGTGACTTCCGGTAGACCCCAGTACTAGTATCCATTCTGACTAGCCAGTTCCTGTGTCATATGGTTAATTGTTTTTGACTATCACCCGTGGTAATCTCAGGCTAAAATAACATCTCATCACCACTGGTTTTCAAACTTCTGTTTTACCAAATCCATTGTTTAAATAAAATACAAAGAAAGCAGGAACTTTTCTGGCTCCATGGGGGCAAAATCCCTAGAGTACCCAAAGGTCTTCCCTCTGTCCCACTAAATCATTCCAGGTGATGCCTAAGGCTCTCCTGGGACTCCAGGAGTCATTAAAATAATTTACAAACCACATGTGGCTAACCTTTACATCACTGAATT